CACTTGTTTGACGGCAACGCGGCCCGCCTTGGGTCCATGGGGTTCGTTGTCATTGTGGGTGTGGGTAGCCGGTCCCTAGTTGAGCGGTGTTGGTTTCTGTCGATCTTTGAGCCGGGCTTCAGGCCGCGTGAGTTTGGTATTCATGATGCCATGGCATTGAGTGCACGACATTTTGTCAGCCTAGCTCTTAGGCGACATGTTTGTGGACCAAAGGGTTGGCGCACCTCACTTGCACATTTGATTGGTTCCATTCGCAGGCTTTCCTTTGCATGCATATTTCCATATTTCGAGAACGGCTGGAGGTAATTGTGGCCTAGAATAGACACAGGACTGTTTTTGTCATCGTCCGAGGTGAATGACCGAAAGGGGCGCCTCTTGTGGAATGGCAAGAGGCCTCAGGCCGTTGGTCCTAAATGCTGCCGGGGCAGCCTCAGGGTTCACGGAAGCGTTCACGGAAGGGTGAGAAACGGGGAGCTTAAGTGAATGTGAAGCTTTGCAACCTCAAGCGTATTGGTGGGAAAACTTTTCGCAACATTTGATGCCCATTGTGAACACTGCAGCGCCAACCATCGGAGGTGCTGGCTCACGGGCTCCCTGCATCGATTTTGGCCGGGACCCAGTGGTTGGATGATGCAAACAGGCTGTGTTGGTGATTCCTGCTTGGCGCATTGCGCGCCGGTATACGCTTTGGAAAGACAATGCAAGACGTTTTTGCTGTGATGGCTTAGGGTCTGATAGTGATAAATTGTTAGACCAGGGCCATTCCATTCAATATGTTGTCACCATTCAATATGAAGTTAGTACATTTGTTGACTGGACCTAATCAGAAGGTTGAAAGAGGAAACTTATGCCAAACTGCGGTTTCCGATGACATTAAGGGGCCCATGCAGTTCCTTTTCCCTTTGTTTGAGGCTCCGTGGGCATGTATAATGATGCGCGTGTGTGCACACACGAAGCAGCAGGGCCCTGCGAGTTTAGGTGCTCTTTTTTTTGACCCCGCCTGTCAGTCGAAACACACTTCGCAATCAAGCCTGCTCGGAAGGGCACGAAACACACGCCTACGATGGCGGGACGGCTCACATGCATTCTAACAAACGCACCGATTGCGAATGAGAATTTCCTCACATTTGCGGGAAGTGCACGAAAGAGTGTCCTACAATAGTCTCCCGCAGGTGTCCCACCAGAGTGTCCTAGAAGAGTGTCCCACAACAGTGTCCCGTAAGGCTGTCTCACACGACTGACCCACAAGAGTGTCCTACAAGAGTTTCCTACAAGAGTGACCCACAAGAGTGTCCTACAAGAGTGCCCCAAAAGAGTGCCCCGCAAGAGTTTCTTACAAGAGTGACCCACGAGAGTGTCCTGCAAGGGGGTCCCACAAGAGTGTCCCAGAAGAATGTCCAACAAGGGTGTCCCGTA